AGCCATTAGCCACAGTCAATATCATCTCCAGAAGGCCTTGAGTACTCAGGCAGTGTTACAGAGGGAGTTGGAGATCTGTGCCAAGTAAAAGACAAGCTGGAAAGCTCCCCAATCAATGTTTTTTTCTCTCTCTCAGTCCCAGACCAACTGTCTATTCATCTGTTTCTCTCAAAATGAAAGGTGTGCTGGTATGCAACACTTACAGTCGAGAGATCTGTGTCTTAATTAAAACGTTGCAGATTGTGTTTCTCTGGCTGTACAGACAGCATACTGTGCTTTGGAAACAACCTTCCCCACAGTGTCTTGCAGAGAGTAGACGAGGTTAATAAAAGATGGTTTAATGCGGAATTAAAATCTGTGTAGTGGAGCTTTTCGGGAAAAGTGTTTTCTTTATAATTAAACTCGGAGGAATATTAAAAAAAAGACGGAAGAAAAAAGAACTGTTTTCAAAAATACACAATGTGACACACTATCTAAATTGTTTTGTGTGGATTTTGATTTTAAAGTAGAATTAAGTATATATTACTCAGGCTGCACATAAGGTTTTTTGCTTACAATTTTATTCTGAACAGTGGCATATGAATTATTTATCTTGCCACAATCCAACTGGGAATGTCCTTGGTATTTACATTTTATCATCAAGAGCGCTGGATGAGGCGTCACAGCAATCTACCACATGACACATCCCCACTCGTCCCTTTTATACAATCAAATGCAGTGGACAAGACCCACTAAAAATGTTTCTGAAGCTCAGACGTTTATTGATAAAGGATGAGATAAAACTATGTTTTGATTAACATGCTTTATGATGACTCAGCATGACTTTTCTTAGATTACCTGTCTCTCTAGCACAACATACGCATGAGCAGACAATGGGTAAAACGGGGACACACACCGGGCAAAATTCATGCAATGTAAACAGTATTTACAGCAGAGTACTTAATTTCCTTCCAACAATTATTAGGGGAATTGAATCTCAGGAAATGCTCGTTTTCTTGTCCATTAGGCCACACAATAACACCATTCCCAAAGGTTTACAAAAACAACTGTCTATAAAGAACTGTCCAGACATAAATACCAGCTTGATTCCAGGCTATGTTTGCACAAATTAAATCAAATGAAGGCAAAAAAATTTTGTCAATAAACTTTTGAAAGTAAGATAAAGGATCTTTATTGCTGGAGTGAATAGTAACATAACTAGTTATGAGCTAAATTCATTTATTTAAATAAAAGACAATTCTGCAGTAATACTAAAAACAAGATAATGTCCATTTATTACATGTTTTACAGTACTGTGGAATTGTTTGTGGAAGTCTTTGTGTAATTTGTCACATTTCAAAGCTTTAGATGATCAAAATGTTCTACTACTAGTAATGATACCCTGGTGATATCTAAAAAGCTGTTTTCAAATAATAAAACCTATTATGGGAATTAAGATATCAAAACAAACCTGAACCTGTCTGATTAAGTATTTGTCAACCCCTTTGTTAAATAATGTGACAACAGGCCTTTTCATAACTTGTAGAAACAAAAAGTCATGTTTTCTTATAAAGGAATCAAATGCAGTGCAGAACAATGTCTTAATACACAGAAATATAAATAGCTTTAAATTATAGGCTTGAACAAGAAAAACAGTTAGCTGATAAATGGCTATGGTAATGGAAGGATCCAGTGGAAAACGAAAGGACCAGAAAGGTATATTTACATGGGTGCACTGGTAAAGCAATGACAGGTAAACTAGAAGAGCTAATCACAGTAAATAAACTGCAACAGAGACAGAAAAACACTGAATGAGAAATAAATAATTGATGAGGAGGAACAGAACACAAAAAAACAAGAAAACATTTAGCTAAATTAAAAAAACTCTTGAACCGGAATGAGCAATAAGAATAATAAACTTGTAATAACCAATCATTAACATTAATATGCATAAAGAAATGGCTAAATAATACAAGCCCCAAAAGTATTGTGGAGGCTTTTTTTTAAAAGACCTGCCTTTTCCACGTAAAAAAAAAATTGTGCGTGCAAGAGCACGAACAAGCCCATTTCTCACCATGCACGCCCTGTTTAAAATATGCGATTCTAATAGCTCATACAAGCTTACTGTTTCCACATACAGCAGGGATTACCGTTCGGTCAAATGATCATTGCTTTTTGCTCCGTTGGTCATGTAACTCCTCCTTCACGGCACTTTGCCTGGCACTTTTCTTATTAGTCGCTGCTTTTGGTTATCGACAGCATATGGCGACAGCGGGCCGCTATGACAGCAAATCCCATCATGCTTTGCGAGGAGAACTCTCCTCGAGAGCTATGTCGGGATATATCTGCCTCTTCTGAGGCCTTTCTTTTCTTCTCATACACTTCGTAGACGCTTCTCTTACGACCCTCGGCCATTTTCAAAGAGCCGCAGTGAGCTAGGTGAGCGTCCCTGTCTGAAACCATAGCTCACCACATAGATATGCCTGAAAGTGCGCATGCGAAGAAAAATATAGCTAACGGGACGAGCACATAGGACAGCCTTATGTAAACATATCACCAGAATGATTGACAATTTAAGGAGGACCACTTATTTAGATGATCCACCCGGAAATAAAAGATCGTTCTCTATACTTTAAATATCAAATAACTTTAGTTCTGCTCTGCTAGACGAAATCCTGAAGAAGAATATCTGGCCATCATTTTCTGTCTTTTCTGAATTTAAAAATCACTGATTCTTTTGAAATCTTCCGGAAAGCATAATGAGGGTTTTCAACATAAATCCAGTAAGAAAAAAACAACTTAAAACTTAATAGTGGTGATTAAATTTCAAAAGTCATGTAACATGGGAAAGCAACGATTTATCCACAATAATGAAAAGAACTCATGAGCAATACGATGGGGAGGAACAGATTGTTACTGGTTTAAAAGGTAATTTTATTTTAACATGGTAGAATTGTTTTGGAAAGCTTTTTTAATTTAATAAATCAATATATGAAATCGAGATTATTTTTCACTTAGGTTGTCTATAGATAATATATAGTGTTAAAGATCTGAGAGTGTGTCAAAGTGGCAAAATTAATAGGCATCTGAAAGTTTTTAATACTTTTTTCTGTAGTAGTCCTAACAGTAAATGTAATAACTCAGGTAGAACATAATTTGTATATTTTAAATATTATGTATGTTTATTTGTAATATGCAAATATGGAAATCATCTTATTGGTTAATCAAATTTTGTTTGCAAAAAATGCTTTTATTTTCATCCATTCACACTGAATCAATGTTGAGAGAAACATGAAAAAATGTACCCTGTATCCTCTCTCTTTCTCCATCTCTCTCCTCATTTTCCAAAAGTATCTGTTTGAGAGATAAATGACCACTCGGCTGCCGAGGATGACAGCCTACACAAAGATGATATTGAATTGATTTCAGAAATGTTGCAGAACTGACTCTTTGATGTATACCGCTAGACATGAATCATAAAAATTCTATTAAAAACCTCTTGAATGGCTGACACCAGAATATTATTTGTGATGATTAATTTGACTCAGTCATTACAATGGGAGTCAAGTTGGATCGTCTCAGACAAAATTGCTTTTCATTCCCTGTTGAATTTCCCAGCTATTTTTCTTTTCTTCCTGCTCTGTGCAGAACTCTGATCTGATTGGACTTAGAGTGTTTGCACAGCAGCTACCACATGTATCTAGCATGAGTTTTCCTTTATCAACAAGGTTGAGTGCTATGGGTTTGCATCTAAAATCAGATGTTGATGTTTGGTCTTTTAGATTGGTTTTCTTCTTTAATAAAGTAGATAGAAAAACCCCTTCTTTCCAGTTGCAACATTGAGCCTTCTCAAGTATATTATGTTTAAAGAAATGTATACAGTGATTTTTTATTCAGTTTAACACCTCTGCAGTGTTGTTACCAAAAGAATGATATCATTTTAAAATGTATGTATATAAGGATACATGTTTTATGTTTCTCTTTTTATTATTTTCCAGATAAATTTGTTCATTTACGCTAACAAATAAAATAATAACAATAATTGCATATTGTCACTGATCCAGATCCTCTTAGTAAAATGATAAACCTTGATGTTAATATCCTTTCTGAAAGCCATAGTGGGATTTTTATACTCTAATCTGCTAAATGTGCAGCTGTTAGTTAAAGGTAAAAAGGTTTGTTCTTTGGTCTAAAGCAATAAATAATATTAAATAATATTAATATATCTTTGGATGTTATTTTCACCCCATTTATCAGAAGTTATTAGGAAAACTATTAAACTTGAATACAATTTTTTCCTTTTTTTAGCACCTTTACTCACTCAGAAAAAGAAAAAAAGCTCCACGTCACAATTTGGATCTTTAAAATTAAAAAAATTTAGGGTTAAGACAACAGCTATTGCTATTGTTGCCACAATAAAAATAGTATATGATATATAGCGTATCAAAGGGAATATTAATGATGTCTTTAACATTGATGTATTTAAATTTCAAAACATAGACTTGTTCAGGAAAGGAACAACATCCATTTTTTACAACAGACTAACTTGCCTTTTTGTAAATAAATAGGAGAAGGGTATCAGCCAGCTTTGTAGCAGTGCACAGCAACAGGAAATGGGTTGGAGAAGAATTTCTAGTCATTCTGATAACGGAGTTAAACAGCTTTAAATGATACCAATGCAATTGATCTTTGGTTTACCTTTATAACTGTGAACATCACAGGCTTACAGTAGATTTTTCCTCTGTTGAAGCCAATTTTTTTAATATGTCAGTTTAAATGTGTAAAATGTTATCGCTGCTTCTTTCTAATTCAAATAAAAGAATAATTGCACCTGGAACTCCACATTAAATTCCAAGTGGTATAAAGAAAACAACATTTTGGTGAAAAACTTGGTCTTCACTTAAGACTCATAATTTTCTATTACATTTGACACTATTAGTAATTGTTTAAAAAACACATTTTACTTGTTCACATGGTTATTGTCTTCTTTTATTTATTTCCATGTTTATCTCTCCAATCAGAGCTACACGGGTCAGACAGGAGGCAGCGGGGGAGGAGGTGGAGGTGGCGGTACCTCCAGTGGAAACGGGACCGGAGACGAAGACTATGAGATCCCGCCGATTACTCCACCCAACCACCCCGAGCCACCTCTTCTTCACCTGATGGAGCATGACTCTACGGGCTACCTCTGTCATTCGTTGCCACACAATGGCCTCATCAACCCGTACTCCTACACTGAGCTGCCAACGCTTATGATGTCCAACATGTTGGCGCAGGAGAGCCACCTTGTCTCCAGTCAAATGCCCTCGGTGAGTAGAACTTCTTTCATATTGCATTTAAAGCTGTGCTTTGGTTGGACCAGGGGCAATGTCAGAAAACAGCATTGGTCACAGATATTTTAATTTTGAAAGACCTTTTTAACCTCAGTGCATTAAATACAAGCCTTTAAATTTGATTCGAGGTAAGATCTGAAATACACTAAGGAACAGTATAACCTTCTTTTTTAAATCAAAGAAAAATGTATACAATTTGCAACGATTGATGTTTGATTGATGTACCAAGGAATAATCCATTAAAAATATCACCACGAAAACAGATGATTTCTGCAATGAAACAGATCATATTTCAAAACTATTTATGTAATCTTAATAGCAAGTGGACTCAGGGAACATGTGATTGTTCAGGGGCTGCCTTGTCAGCTGTAATGCATAGAGAAAAGGATTGTGGGTAAATCCATCAGCATCAAATCTGCCTCGACAGCATGCATCGGTCAATCTGTCAGGCCTTCAAACATGAATACATGCTGATTACTCCCTCAGCTCCACACACAGAAAAAAAAATGGCTCGTCTGCAAATTAGCATCTCTAAACCATAATTGCTTTTATGGGAACTGCTGCAAGAAGCAGGTTTCTATCAGAACAACACAACCATCTGTATAAGGTTTAAGTATGAATCTTACACACATGCTGCTGCTTTTATTTATATTTTGTAGAAGCAGCCTTAAATGTATGATTTATTGTTGAATTTGGTGGCGAGTTTGAAGTTTAAGTTATTCAGATTATTCCTTTGTTCCCTACTGTGCAGCAAACATGTAAGAATGGAACAGAAAATTGTTCCTTTTAACTTTGACAGTCATATCTGAATGCATTCGTTTGGAGGGGGAAGGGATTTATGGGGTTTTATTGATTGCAGCCCTGAGATCCAACTGAAACAAATTATATGCAAACAAACATAACATGAGAAAGACAGTTTTTTATTAAGAGATTGAAGGTCAAACTTTTCATGCCCTCCTAATTTCCTAGACACTGACAGAAACATCACACAATGGCACAGGAATAGTTATATTTGACAACTGAGATTTCTTTTAGTAATCTTTTCCAAAAAACATTTTTGATTATAGCTATTTCTCATTGCTCTTAATAATTAAAAATAACAGTTGTTCCTTGTGTATTTTGGAAATTATTTAAGCTGATAGAATATCTGTTTATTAGAGAATACTGTATATATACAGAGGTATATCAAGGTCAAGTATGATGTATCATGTTCATCACAAACAGAGGAGAAGAGTAAACAACAGCTGAAATAGATCTTGCTAAAGATCTGAAATACAAATATGTTATGCATTATATATAATGCAGAAATATTCCCCCAAGGTATTAGCTTCACATGTCATCTATCTTTATATTCATTTCACATTTTGGACATGACCTTTATTGTGGAGACATTGGTTGATTGGCCAGTCTTTCACTCCCCCATCAGAGTGTTTGTTTGTAGTAGAAAACGACTCTAGTTTTGATGGAGCTGAATACAATGGACTGCATGATAAAAATGTAGGAGTGTCTCGAAATGCAGTAAACGCAACACACCAAACATGAACTTGTACAAATTGGAACAAATAATTGCCAGTTGCTGTTATTTTTTTTTTCTTCTTGTGATTTTTGCATTGATAATAATGGTTCATTTCAAGAGTACTTTAAAGATTGGTCTGTGCATGATGTACACTATTAAATTATTTCTTTTTTCAGGCCCCTTTACTCTGATAGGCCCAAATAGAATTCAGAGTATCTGATGGTGTTAACAGTTTTATCTCAGTATGAATTTGAGGTGTTCTGAAAGTCTTCCTATAATGGCATGCTGAAGAAACATCATCATAAACAAAATAAGACATCAGAAAAGTTAGGGATAAAGGTGGTAGTATGTTTATATCCCTTTTAGATTATAATACCAGATCCAAAGTTTGGAAATCTCCCAAAACTCTGCTCTGTTAGTTGTTTAAATTATGAAATCTGCCATTCCTGCAAACTACATTGAGTTTGCTAAAACTTAGACTGGACAAAAGCAATGCAAAGTGGTGGTAACATTATGCTGTGGTGAGGACAAGACAGCTCATCGGAATTGATAGGAAGATGTGTAGTTTAATATGCTTGCATGTCCCATTCCCTAAATCTGACTCAAAATCTGAAAGTCATTGTTTCTTGCTGAGTGAAATGAGCTGTTTTCCAAAAAAATAAACGACAACAAAAACAAAAAAGACACTGTTTAAACATTTGATTTTATATATATCTATACCTATATATTTCTATCTATCTATCTATCTATCAATCTATCTATCTATCTATCTATCTATCTATCTATCTATCTAGGAGATTGTAATGGCTTAGGTGACACATCGAAACCATGTATGGTTATTCTTCAACGTCACATTGTGCTCTAGTTGTATTTATATGCCACAAATAATTCCAACAAAATATTATAGATATATGTCTAGATCTCGATCTACTTCTAACAAACTCTAAAAAGAGTTGTTAGTAAAATGTATTAAGAATACTTTTCAACAAAGTTTTTTGGGGTTTTTTTATTTGCACTTTTCCTAAAGAAGCGTGGAGATCCTTTTAGTGCCCTGCTTCAACTTCACCCTGAAATACGCAGCATATAAAAGCAAACTCTCTCTAAATCAAATACTCTGTCTGGCAAAAACTACCAAACCGTAGCAGTTTCATTTGTGCTGAGAACCGAGTGTCTATTAAATTGGTGCCTCACCTTGACACAGTCTGTTGAACAGAGTAATTAAGCAAACTCTGCAGTTCAAACATGAGACGGTATCATTATGAATTCCTCACTTGACATGGGTGGATAAATAGTCTGGGTTAATTTACCTTTTTTTTTTCATGTTTCTGGTTGCAAACAAAAAACATCACCCTCAATATCTGGTTGTTGTGTTGACATTGTACTTTTATGTCAGTGTCCAAATGTGTATATTCATACTTTTTTTTTTTTGTCTTCACTATAAACAATATCGGTGCAGTCGAAATGGATCCACTACATCTGGAGGTCAGGCCTTATATTCAATCTTGAGCACATTGGAAAAAAAAATCCATTAGGGTTCATCTTTCCTGCATCAGCCATTCTATTGTGGTGCTGCAGTGAGATCTGTTTTCATCAAGCAGATTCAATACGTGAGCTGGGCAATGAAAAGAGTGAAATAGAGTTAGATGAGGAGAGGAGAGGTTTGGGGTGATGCTGGGGGTGGGGGGGTAGGGGGCAAGTAGATATTGTAAAGAATAAAAAGATAAATCTTATTCAAACGAGGGTATAGCTCTAGTTTTCTGTACCGTCTGGATTTCATTATTAGATATTTTAGACATAATTCAGTTAAGTGAAATGAGGTTACTTGACTTCAACAAAGAGCTGAAAGCTGCTGTTTTTTTATGTGGATCCATATGGATTGGAGTACTGTATGCAGATATATTTTAATTACTTCAGTACAAATGCAACAATAATAATTTGGCTGCTTATCTAACTATAATTGGGGCAAAGTAGATTTTTTTGCGGTAGCTGATCATAATCATATTGGATAGATTAGATATGTGGCTTTGCTTGAGTGGTTATTTTGCAGGTGATTTGTTATTAGCAGACTGCTACAAAGACACAATTTATTTCCATTTTTCCAACTATTTACAAACAAAGAGTTTTGGTATTTAAAGCAGGATTTTTTGTTTCTGTAATGCAATTCTTAAAGATTACAATGGATGAATTCATTGATGGAAGATATATGTTGAAAATGGCTTTTGGTATGGATGTTTTTAGATCTGTAAAAACTAGTCCAATAATAAAAAAAAAGCAATGGAATTTTCTGAATATGATGTGTTTCAGTTTTACTTTAGGGTCCTTGTTGGTTGCAAATATTAAGCCTGACTTAAAATAAAGTTATCGTTTTACTAAAAAGTAATAAATGGAATATATTGCACTTTTCTAGTCATACTTTAAAGTACCGGTACTTTATACTATATCCACATTAACCAAATCACATGTACAGATTTATATATTGATACAAAGATTGGTTGGCAAATGTTGGTCAAGTAGGGAAACTGGAATCGAACACACAACCTTTTAGATGCAAAACGACTCCACTCACTAAGCCTTTACTGATATAAAGCTAAATGTTCTATGGAGACCAACAGGTTTCTTAAGGTAATCTTTAAAGCTATAGGTTGTTTTCTGTTCCTTAGATTGCTCTTTTTTCATTTCTTAAATTTGCCTACACTGATAGTTTAGTCCACATATTTGTGATTCACTTTCTAAATAATAGCAGGTTGCACTAAATGCCAACAAATCCACGGATGATAGAAGCAAAATCATTTGCTAATATGCAGAATCCGTTATCGATGAAAGCCTTTTTCAGATCTTCTGTACCATACAGGTTTTGGTCCATTTCAGATGTTTCGGCATGTAATAGTTTTGAGCATTTTGTATTAACCTCAACCCTTGCATAATCTATTAACACACAATATGTAATCCAGTTCAGTTCAATAGATTTCCTTTTTATTAATGTTTGTTTCTGTATCTGTTTGATTCTGTTCAGCTCATATGATGGCTCAGGTTTCACTCACAAAGGGATAACACGCAAAGTTAAAAATAGAAAAAATGCAACACTTTAAACATGAGACAAGTGCCTCCAGAGGGAAGAGGCGAACTCCCCTCTGTAAAAGCCTCTAATAGAGCACAGGGTTTGAAAGTCTGCCATTAAATGTTTGGTCATCCAATACTGAATCAGATTCTGTTAATATAAATATTTGCAAAGAAAGGCAGCAGATAACAGTATCATACTTTAAATATATCAGCAGAGATTTTATTAACACCAACATAAAATTAAGCTTCCATTAATACATTGCTTTTAATCATCAAATTCATCTTTTTATTTTCTTTAAAAAAGGGTTATATTTAAGTTTTTCTTCAGTGACACAATAGGGTATTTCTATCTTTTAATAAGTCCAAAAAACCATCAACTAATTAGCTAAATTAAAATATT